GACTGATGCAGATTTCCCTGCCCATCTTTGGGACCTTTTGTTCGATGCATGCCAGTCGCTTTCGTGGCAAGCGGCAGCGGGTCATTATATGGGTACAGGGGTGGAACGAGGAGTTGATTTTACTGTGTTGTATCGTATGCTACGTCATCAGGAAAGGAATGGTGAGGCGGAGGCTGCAGGAATGGTACGTAATCTTGTCGCTGGTGGCTACTGGGCGGAGTCCAGACTTTACGATGCGGGATACCGCTCGAGTTCAGGTGGAACCTGTACACGTTGCGGGGCCTCAGCAGAGACCCCTTTCCATCGCTTTTGGGACTGCTCCTGCAATCGGCTTGTGCCTGATGCGGTCTTGGATCGCACCGATTGTTTGCGCGATCGGGTTTTAGCGGAGCCTGAGCTGTCGTGTTTGTGGTTTCGAGGCTTGGTCCCGAAGGCTCTCACGCGTGGCCATTTGCCTCCGCCTGTTTCGCAGGTGTGGGAGTGGGGCCGACTGATCGGAGGAGGTGTGATCGGTGGAGGAGTGTGGGGAATAGATGGATCTGGGGGGAAGTTCACTAAGGACTGGCGGCTTCGCCGCTGTGGCTGGGCGTGTGTCCACTTAGGTTCATCTGGCCTCTTCGACTCCCTCCTCATGGGCACCCTCCCTACCAAGAAGCAGTCCTCTCCTCGTGCGGAGTTGTTTGCTCTCATTATGCTGGCACGTCGTACTACGGGGCATTGCCGTGTGTACTGTGATTATTTGCGGGTAGTTCAAGGGTCACGTCGCCCATTATGTGGCAAACGTGGGTCTTCGATGCTGGATCTTTGGGTGCAATTTCATGATGTTATGTTCGCTAGAGGGGGGTCTATCCAAGCGTTGTGGACGAAATTGCATTCGACCCAGGCCCAACGCCAAAATATGTTTTTGAGTGATGTAGAAGTGTATTTGAACAAGGCTGCTGATTTCTTTGCCGATGCTGCTGCTGACAGGGCCCAGATCCCCGAGGATTTAGTTGACCGAACCCGTCGGGCCGACAAACTTGCGTTTGATGTGTTGTCGCGGTTGTTGGCGGTCCAGCGCGAGGTGCTTTTCTCGGGAGGTCGTGAGACTTCGGAACGGGCTCCTAGGCGGCAGCGCGGACAGCAGACCAGTTGCGTTGTGAGGTTGTGTCGCTTGCGCGATAGTGGTCACTCTCCTGAGGTGCGTTTGGCGCCTCTCAAGTGTTCTCGATGTGCGCGGGGCTTCCCTTTGAAAGGCAAGCTGGCGGATTTTTGGCCTGATCCCTGCAAGCCTCGCTGTGAACTGCAGCAGCGGATTCAGTGTTTTCCTCCTCGCGTCGCCCAGGCCTCAGGGGTGGAAGATCCGCCGCCTGATGATCTGGCTGCTGTTCAGGGGTGTGGAACACCCCTGGACCACCCAATGTCGGAGTTTTGTTCGCCCACGCATCAGTTGGCCGTGTTTCGAGGGGTTTTGCATTGCGAGGTATGTGGTGGTTTTTGCACAGTGAACCCCCCTCGCATTCTGAGCAGGGCTTGTGATCGGCCTTCGTCCACTGGGAAGGAGGTTTTGTCGAGGATCTCCCGCGGGCTTCCCCCGAAGTCGGGCACCCGTTTCCCTGATGTGTGAGTTGGTGTTTAAGCGACCTCCCTAGAGGAGGATGACGCTTCAGATAGAATTAGAATTAGAATTATTCTCCTCCTCCTCCTCCTCCTCCTCCTCCTCCTCCTCGCTCCTCCTCCTCCTCCCTCCTCCTCCTCCTCCTCCTCCTCCTCCCCTCCTCCTCCTCCCCTCCTCCTCCTCCTCCTCCTCCTCCTCCTCCTCCTCTTACAGTTACTCAATATGAATACTACTCTCCTCCTTCCTCTGATGACGGGTTGGTTCGCCCCCCCCCCCCCCCCCCCCCGCGTACTGTTTTTCACACAGGATTCCCCGGAGTTGGGTTTTCGCCTGCATTTTTGTTATGCTGTTCTCGCTGAGGCGCCGGCCTCATTTTCGGGCCCCGCTCGTTCCGAATCGTGCTCCCTCTGCAGCGCTGGCCTCATTTCCGTGCTTCCGCTCGTTCCGAATCGCGATCCCGTTGCAGCGCTGGCCTCATTTCCGCGCTTCCGCTCGTTCCGAATCGTGTTCCCGCTGCAGCGCTGGCGTCATTTCCCGTGCCATGCCACGGCATGCAATGCAATGTTAGGTTGCGTTCTGCTGCGCGATGCGATGCCTTCAGCTGAAGCTGTGATATGCAGTGCTTAAGTGCCACGTTGTGCTGATCTTCACCGCCATGTTATGCAATGTTATGTTCGGGGCCGCTGTGTGATGCCATGCTTTGCGTTGCAAAGCTTTGTGATGCAATTCTTCACTACGCCACGCCACGCCATGCTGTGACATACTATGCTTTGCGGTGCTCTTCTACGCCATGCCATGCCGTGCTCTACAATGCATCGCGTACCCTTTCGGGATCATTGCCCTGGTCGACATCCGACTGTGCGAGTAGAGAGGGGATCTACGCCATGGTAAGGGATGGGAGGG